GGGACGAAGAGCAACTTGAAGACCGTCTGGTTTTTGGACCGGTGAAATCATAGGTCCATATTTCATCAAAAATTAAGTATGGGAAAACGTAACCGTCAATGGCGACTATTATCGTGCCATGATAACCGACTATTTGGTGCCTAAAATTGAAGCTCGTGATCTCGGCGACACACAGTGGCACCTCTCCATACATTTCTTGGAAAAAAATAGAAGGAGTGGTCGTACAGCAATGAAACTTTGCAGAAACACTTCTCTGGACTAAATTAAGAAATTTTGAAAAAATCTTGGAAAACCGCCCACTGCCACACCCACCTCCCATTTAACTGCAATTGCCAAAATTTTTATTTTTGGACCTAGGGACTTGAAATTCGGGAAACTTCTTGAGTTTTCCTGATGAAAAAAAATTAAACTTTAACGCAAAGTGACGTTATTTATACCTTTCAGCTTGATAAAAATCCAATATAATAAGCAATGTTTTAATTGAATATGTAACAGGCGAAAAATTGTGTTAGTTTTTATTTGTAATATTATGCAAGCACCATATCTTTAACAATGGGATCTAGTTCTAAGAAATTTGGTAAGCATCCATTATATCCTTACCATGCATTAGTACTTTGTGCACAGTAACAAGCATATATAATTTAAATTTGTCACTATCAATTTTTTCGCCACATGTAATTATTTGAAGAATTATCATGAATCGATCGATAAGTTCTTCTTTGACGCCAGTAATATCCGCAACCATTTATGGGTGTAAAAAAAAAAGCCTTGACGTGTTCCCGTCGTTAGAAGTTCCTGTACCTTGTTGAACAAAATCAACTCGCAACCGCATTTTATCTTTAAAGACCGCTTGTATTTTTAATTTATTTTGTATTTTAGGTTCTTTGTTTTGGAAGGTTGCAACCCATTTCTGAAATGGTAAATTATAAGCTATATGGAGAATGCACTCCGTAAACATGATTCTAGCATGTACGGATGAAATTCCCCATTCACATGCCTCAGGTTTAATTGTTTTCATTGAAACTAACTCTAAATTGTTCATTTCAGTAGGTTTCGCTCCACAAATGTAGCATACTGCTGCTGCAGTAGTATGTGTCACTATCTGAGCTGTTTTACCATCCAGCATTGTAAAAAGAAGCTTTTGTAATACATTAATTTCCTTGCGCTTTACAACAACTTTTGTACTATTCAATGCAACAATATCTGACTTCCTTTTTTCGATAAATTCCATTACTTTCTCTAGTTGAAGAAGCTCTGGAATTACGCCAATACTCAATATTGTTATCTGATTGCAGCATTAATGGGACCATAGAGAGTTAATACATACTGCCATCATTCACATCTTTGGGTAAATTTTGTTTGTATTCTGCATGCCCAGAGGACCCATCGCAGCCCCACTTGCTTGTAAGAGTGTAGTTGCACGGCGACAGTGACTCCAATGTTTCTGTTGAAAAAGTTTCAAAAATTCGATTTGTTGTGTGGTCTAGCAAACTTTGAAGATTGACCGTTTCCTTTACATTAATGTTTTCTGGATAGCATTTTTTTCAGTCGATAGCTTGTTGTAAGGTGGAAGAATATTATATCTTTCAGATTGCAAAACATTTCTTATGGTATTGTATTGCATCTTTGTTAAATCAGCATCCATTATTAATGCTAATACAATTGAAGAATCAATATAGGCCGGTGGGTTTTTGTCCTTTCCAATCATTTCACTTGCCAGTGAAAGTTGTTGTTGTGGAAATTGTGACGCCAAGGCTGCAGCTTTATACCGTTTCGCGCGATCACTACATTCCTCAAAAGCTCTTGTTTTTCTCCCACTCGCTCTACTTTCACATGAGGAGATGAATGGCAATGCTACTTCAAATGCATCTTAAAAATAACAAAAACATAATAAGATAGTTTATTGCGCTAGTTACCCGAAAACTCACTTGTAAGCCAAACTGAATTGCTTGCAAAAAAACGAGCAATGTTTTGTGATGCCCCAAACCACCTTTTATTAAATAAAGGTAAAAACCGCTACGATATACTTATTTTCACATATGCAACATCTTCATCAGTTACACCTAAATTTCTCGATTTTATGTATTCAGTCAATAAATCAACATTGCGATCACTGTTAATAAGCTCCTCGCTTAATTCATTGTATAAAAACGAAAAAGTACTCATATTAATATAAACTATATAAGTATTTGAATGAAAATTAATATATTTTAGCCGTGAAAACTATATGTTTTTATTTCGATTGAAATGTCATTCAATTTCGTTACGCCTACATATTCGTAAATAAAAATAATGTTTCACTTAAAAAGCTTCAATTCACGAGAGCCTGAAAGTATACTAAATTTTTTGTCTTATTGACCATTTTTATGAAATATTGGAAGTGACTTTTGAAATTAAAATCGATGTTACTAAAAGGGACGGTATTTGGCGGTTGTTTTTTTTCTTTTAATTCAAAGTACAGACTCGGAACTTTCATTTTTTTATAGTAAGAGGGCTTAGCAAGGCAAAGCACATAAAGTTTTTTCCATCAAAAAATGAAAAGTTGATATTTTTTAGTATAATTTTTGAAAAATTATAAAAAATTAGCTTACTGTGCCAATTTCAATAAATTTTTTTTTTTATAAACAATTAGGTGCTATATTTTCACTAAAAAATAGATGAAAAACCATAGCTATAAGCTTACACACAAAAAAAATTCTTTATTTGGACAATAATTTTAATCTGATTTTATTGAATAACTTTCCGTCGACTTCTGTTAGTTTTTTTAACTATAAAATTTCACTTTTTATAAAAAACCTTGTTGAATTTTTCTTATCCAAATATTTCTTTACAAAACAAAATCATTAAAA